AAAAGCAGTTCAATCGCGACATTCTGCACCTTTCCACAAACAAGTCCAGATTCAGGCGTTCAATCCAATCCTCTTTGCTAGTGGGACCTCGCCCCAGGTTCAGCCGGGCCCATGATGCCGCTGTCTCTTATACACATCTAGATGTGTATAAGAGACAGAGACACCCCCATAAATCGAGAAAATGCCAAAATGCCCCTAAGAGATGTGGGTAGAGCGGAATGCCCCTCTGAAATTTTGTTTTTTGTGAAATACCCCTGGCGTCGGTTGGACCCCTATCTTTGAAATATACCCCTACGGGGTACCGTCCAACTTTGCATAATGCCCCAATACTTGCCAACTTTTCCTAGGCGCTATCGCAAAAGGCCAAGGCCCAAACGAGGAGGCTGAGATTGCGAATTTGCCCTCCCGCCTGACAGGGGCACGACACAAAGATTTCGGCCCGAAAAGGGCATTCCGCTCTCCCCACATGGGGGTATTTTGAAAATTATCCCAAAAAACTACAGTTTCTTTTTTATCAAAAAGTTGACAGGTGTACCCGTCCATTCAGCCACGTGGGCAGGGTGGAGATCTCTTTTTTTTTTTTTTTTTCCCTTCAGAGTGGAGCTCTTAGTTCTGGTCGCTCGTCCAGTCTTCGGGCACCGCGACACAACTATTGAAATGTGCAAAATGAGAATGAACTTCCCGCTAGATCATGGCCAGATGCACCCGCCACATTTTGTCCTTTTCACATTTCTCGAGTGGTGTCGTGCGCCCTCCCTCCTTCCGAGCTGGCTGCTCTCTTCCACCAGCGTGGGTCACGAGGAGAGAACTGTAGGACATTTGACAGGAAGCCGCCGCCTTTTCACACAATGTGGGTAGCATGACCAGAGGTGGCTAGCCGTATTTGGTGCAACTTTCAGTCTACATACAGCGATAATGACCGGGCGTCCTATTCGGGCGAAGACGATAGGGCAGTTGCGCTCTTCCATCTATGCCTTGTATTATCTCGCCTATTTTCCCTGCTCTCTTTTGTCCCTC